CTAAAGAATTCAATTTAAAATTTGGAAAAAATTTGTAGAATTGAGACAACATGAAACAATGTTATCACTAAAATTATTTTGTTCAATGTTAAAGTACACGTAATTTAGGCATTTTCTAAAAAAATAATTTCTATTTCATACCATGTAATCAGTACTTTGAAAATGTCTTTCATTGTGACTTCTCAATGCATCTTGATTGTTACTTCGATAGGCCACAGCTTTACTGTTACTATCGAATGACTTTCCAGCACCGTTCGAATGTTGGTCAACAAAGTTAGAAGCTTGATCTGGTGTACCAAAACTTTTATATTTGTTATGAGAATATCCATCAACTTGAGCTTTGCAGTCTTCCCTAACATAAAATATTTTGGATTCTTGATTGTAAAAAAACAATTGTCAATTTCATTAATTTTCTTACCAATTATCATAAACACCAGTCGAACGACCATTAGCCACTCCATAATATTTATTAGGCATTCTGACAAAAAGTTCAGAAATTTTAAACTTAATTTTTGTGCACATTGCTAGTTTTACATATACAATGGTATGCAAAAGTTTCCAGCCAGTAACATTTTGCACTCTCATTTATAAAAAAAAAGAAAGCCTGATAAAATTTTTATCTTTATCAGAAATTAATACAAGATGTGGATAACAAAATCTTGTATTAACATTTATTTTATATATACATATATATATGATTATAAGACTTATAGCTTTTCCAAAATTGAAAATTTTTGTATACCATTGTATATATTTTACTATTATTACTTTTATTATATCATCAAATTCTAGAGTCAGAGGAAAAATGCAACATAATATAAAAACAAAAAAAAATACAATTGTAATCTTTTGCATTTTTTCCTATTTTTCTTTTTCTCTTTATTTCGCAAATAAAAATTTTCAGAGTATAATAAAAAAAAGAACAAACCTTAAATACAAAAATTCTTTTCAGTCTCTCTTTATTATATCTAAAGTATAATCACAGTTATAACGACATAAAATTATCAAATATATAAAAAGGAACATAATCACAAAGAAAAAATGTATTGTATATATTTAATAATTCAATAAGAACGTAGACTCAAGAAATTGAATCTAAATAATATGTAAAATTACTGCCAATGTGACCAAACATTAATTGTTTGGGTGAATTATAAGTAACTTTAGTGAAATACATACAATAATATAAACATTTTGATCTTTTATTTAGGTCATCATCAGTATAAATTTGATTGTAATATCAAAATTTGAAAAAGACTATGTCATGGAAACACAATGTACATACATATTAAGTAAACTTAGACCTTAAATGTTTTGATTTGATGAACAAAATTAAGACGTGCAAATCACACAATACACCTATTGATATATTAAAATTAAATTGACTAATTTAATATTGACATGATTGTTAAATCAATGTTGATGACTCGATCATTTGATACAAGGATCTAAACGAAAGGAATGTTTATATTTACATTATATATATATATATATATATATTTCAATAAAGTTACTTATAATTCACACGAACTAGAGTGTTGGTTCATATTGGCAATAATTTTACATATATACATTTAATGTAATACAAGTCTCGACCACAATTGCGTTAATTAATATAAGTTCAAAATTAATATTGATTGACAATTCCATAATACTTGTTATATTTTACGCTTGTACGTTTCAATTGTAAGGAAAATTTAATATTATGATGAACGATGTAATAAAGTGACGCAACGAAGCAACAAGTTCTTGCCAGTTCAATTAAGCCTATTCTACAATGTGCTTTTTGTTCTCAGTTTTTTGCTTTTTGTTATTTTTCACATCTTGTCTTTTTGCTTTTCATCTCGTTTTTCGTTTTCTGTAGTCCGGGATAAAAATTAACGAACTTTGGAAGAAACGAGAAACACGTAAGCAAGAAATAATATCGTCAATAAAATGGCCGAAAAAGGAAAAAATAAAGAGCACGTTGTATAGAATAGACTTCAACCAACGATCGTTATCCGAATCTACAGTCTTCTCGCGCAAGCAAAGTCACGTTCAATGAAACTTACTTGATTATTCGTTATGTCAGCAATATTGCAGCAATTTTAAGCGTCAGCCTTACGCGTGCGGTTCAACTACGCTTATCCAACAGAAAGACTCGTACGAAAATGACCAAGACTGGACGACAATGGCGTTAGCTTTTGGCTTTTGTTTCATTAGTGAGTGATGTATATACTTAAAGAAAATTTGAATCCTGTGATTGTATCACGTGACTATTCGAGAACTTTCATTGGCAGAGAAACGGAAACGGAAATTTGGGGTGGATCTAATCCCATGTCGTGAAGGGTCGACAGGAGAGACCCGTGGAGACCTCTAGTTGAAGATGAATTTTTTATTCCCAAATTACGGCTAAAATACTGGATGGATCGCGTTTTAATTGTGATATTCGTAATTAGGAAAGGCTCCTGAAGGCTCCTACAGAGCTATTTTTTTTGTAAAAAGAAAAAAAAATAATTTTTCTGGTATCTCACTCGATGTGTACTATGGTGCAGTTGAGGTGTACATGATTTTATTAATAAAAATTTTCAAAAATCAATTTGCGAAATCTGTCTCTGTACGAGCCTTCCCAGCAATATAACAAAGAAATCCCAACAGGTTTCATAAGGAAATATTATTTCTTTGAGGAGAAAAATGAGCATAACTAGCTCTGCACTTATAAATACATACCTTTATGCTGAAATTGTGGTTAAAATATAACATAAATCGTGTTTTAATTGTGATATTCGTAATCAGAAAAAGCTCCTGAAAGCTCGTGAGCTATTTTCTTGTAAAAAAGGCATCATAAAAATATGTTCTGATATCTCACCCGAAGTGTACTATAGTGCAAGTAAGGTGTACACATCATTTTATTTAAAAAAGTTTTCAAGAATCAATTTGCAAAACCGGCTCTGTACGAGCCTTCCTAGTAGTATAACAAAGAAATCCCAACAGGTTTTATAAAGAAATAATAGTATTGTTCGTTTTGTCACTCGGGAGCTGCTCGTGAGCTCTTACATCTGATTGGCATATTCCATTAGATCTAAAAATATAAACCAAACAGGTACAAGAGCTCACTGAGCGCTCAGTGAGCGATCGTACTTCTGGATGCACCCAATTAATGCTGCAAATGCTTCGTTGATCAATCAGAAGAAAGAATTTTACGTATTGATCAATCAAAGAATGTTTCGAGGTATTTACAACATTAAGGCCCGTATTCAGAACGCGCTAACAACGATGTTAGCGCGCTAACATGCTATAGTATACGTCACGTATACTATGGAATTTCAGAGATAAAAGCGCGCTTTTATCGATAAAAGTGAATACGGGCCTAAATGAATCACATTCAAGTACACTGGGTTCGTTCGGAGTAGAGTCCTAGATATCAGAGAAGCTTAAGTCAGTATCGCAAAATTACTAAGAAAAGTATTAAAAATGGCGTCGTTTGCGGACGAAATACGAAATCCACCAATCGTCTATTAGTCAGCCATTTTTATTACCACTGAATGAATGTCATGATTGGCTGACAGTCAGCTAATCAGGACGCGGAACATCGGTTGCGCTTCTCTGATATCTAGGACTCTAATCGAAGCTTGGTGACAATAGGTCTGTTCGCGTTGCTTGCACTTTTTGTACTTACCATTTTCGCTTTCTTTCATTTTAAAGCCGAGTATACATCTATCTCACTTTAAGTGCAAAATTATTTGGGAATTTCATGCAACGCGAACAGACCTAGTGGTCCTTAAGCCGGTTGCGCTTCTCTGATATCTAGGACTCTACTCCGAACGAACCCAGTGTACTTGAATGTGATTCATTTAGGCCCGTATTCACTTTTATCGATAAAAGCGCGCTTTTATCTCTGAAATTCCATAGTATACGTGACGTATACTATAGCATGTTAGCGCGCTAACATCGTTGTTAGCGCGTTCTGAATACGGGCCTTAATGTTGTAAATACCTCGAAACATTCTTTGATTGATCAATACGTAAAATTCTTTCTTCTGATTGATCAACGAAGCATTTGCAGCATTAATTGGGTGCATCCAGAAGTACGATCGCTCACTGAGCGCTCAGTGAGCTCTTGTACCTGTTTGGTTTATATTTTTAGATCTAATGGAATATGCCAATCAGATGTAAGAGCTCACGAGCAGCTCCCGAGTGACAAAACGAACAATACTATTATTTCTTTATAAAACCTGTTGGGATTTCTTTGTTATACTACTAGGAAGGCTCGTACAGAGCCGGTTTTGCAAATTGATTCTTGAAAACTTTTTTAAATAAAATGATGTGTACACCTTACTTGCACTATAGTACACTTCGGGTGAGATATCAGAACATATTTTTATGATGCCTTTTTTACAAGAAAATAGCTCACGAGCTTTCAGGAGCTTTTTCTGATTACGAATATCACAATTAAAACACGATTTATGTTATATTTTAACCACAATTTCAGCATAAAGGTATGTATTTATAAGTGCAGAGCTAGTTATGCTCATTTTTCTCCTCAAAGAAATAATATTTCCTTATGAAACCTGTTGGGATTTCTTTGTTATATTGCTGGGAAGGCTCGTACAGAGACAGATTTCGCAAATTGATTTTTGAAAATTTTTATTAATAAAATCATGTACACCTCAACTGCACCATAGTACACATCGAGTGAGATACCAGAAAAATTATTTTTTTTTCTTTTTACAAAAAAAATAGCTCTGTAGGAGCCTTCAGGAGCCTTTCCTAATTACGAATATCACAATTAAAACGCGATCCATCCAGTATTTTAGCCGTAATTTGGGAATAAAAAATTCATCTTCAACTAGAGGTCTCCACGGGTCTCTCCTGTCGACCCTTCACGACATGGGATTAGATCCACCCCAAATTTCCGTTTCCGTTTCTCTGCCAATGAAAGTTCTCGAATAGTCACGTGATACAATCACAGGATTCAAATTTTCTTTAAGTATATACATCACTCACTAATGAAACAAAAGCCAAAAGCTAACGCCATTGTCGTCCAGTCTTGGTCATTTTCGTACGAGTCTTTCTGTTGGATAAGCGTAGTTGAACCGCACGCGTAAGGCTGACGCTTAAAATTGCTGCAATATTGCTGACATAACGAATAATCAAGTAAGTTTCATTGAACGTGACTTTGCTTGCGCGAGAAGACTGTAGATTCGGATAACGATCGTTGGTTGAAGTCTATTCTATACAACGTGCTCTTTATTTTTTCCTTTTTCGGCCATTTTATTGACGATATTATTTCTTGCTTACGTGTTTCTCGTTTCTTCCAAAGTTCGTTAATTTTTATCCCGGACTACAGAAAACGAAAAACGAGATGAAAAGCAAAAAGACAAGATGTGAAAAATAACAAAAAGCAAAAAACTGAGAACAAAAAGCACATTGTAGAATAGGCTTAATTGAACTGGCAAGAACTTGTTGCTTCGTTGCGTCACTTTATTACATCGTTCATCATAATATTAAATTTTCCTTACAATTGAAACGTACAAGCGTAAAATATAACAAGTATTATGGAATTGTCAATCAATATTAATTTTGAACTTATATTAATTAACGCAATTGTGGTCGAGACTTGTATTACATTAAATGTATATATGTAAAATTATTGCCAATATGAACCAACACTCTAGTTCGTGTGAATTATAAGTAACTTTATTGAAATATATATATATATATATATATAATGTAAATATAAACATTCCTTTCGTTTAGATCCTTGTATCAAATGATCGAGTCATCAACATTGATTTAACAATCATGTCAATATTAAATTAGTCAATTTAATTTTAATATATCAATAGGTGTATTGTGTGATTTGCACGTCTTAATTTTGTTCATCAAATCAAAACATTTAAGGTCTAAGTTTACTTAATATGTATGTACATTGTGTTTCCATGACATAGTCTTTTTCAAATTTTGATATTACAATCAAATTTATACTGATGATGACCTAAATAAAAGATCAAAATGTTTATATTATTGTATGTATTTCACTAAAGTTACTTATAATTCACCCAAACAATTAATGTTTGGTCACATTGGCAGTAATTTTACATATTATTTAGATTCAATTTCTTGAGTCTACGTTCTTATTGAATTATTAAATATATACAATACATTTTTTCTTTGTGATTATGTTCCTTTTTATATATTTGATAATTTTATGTCGTTATAACTGTGATTATACTTTAGATATAATAAAGAGAGACTGAAAAGAATTTTTGTATTTAAGGTTTGTTCTTTTTTTTATTATACTCTGAAAATTTTTATTTGCGAAATAAAGAGAAAAAGAAAAATAGGAAAAAATGCAAAAGATTACAATTGTATTTTTTTTTGTTTTTATATTATGTTGCATTTTTCCTCTGACTCTAGAATTTGATGATATAATAAAAGTAATAATAGTAAAATATATACAATGGTATACAAAAATTTTCAATTTTGGAAAAGCTATAAGTCTTATAATCATATATATATGTATATATAAAATAAATGTTAATACAAGATTTTGTTATCCACATCTTGTATTAATTTCTGATAAAGATAAAAATTTTATCAGGCTTTCTTTTTTTTTATAAATGAGAGTGCAAAATGTTACTGGCTGGAAACTTTTGCATACCATTGTATATGTAAAACTAGCAATGTGCACAAAAATTAAGTTTAAAATTTCTGAACTTTTTGTCAGAATGCCTAATAAATATTATGGAGTGGCTAATGGTCGTTCGACTGGTGTTTATGATAATTGGTAAGAAAATTAATGAAATTGACAATTGTTTTTTTACAATCAAGAATCCAAAATATTTTATGTTAGGGAAGACTGCAAAGCTCAAGTTGATGGATATTCTCATAACAAATATAAAAGTTTTGGTACACCAGATCAAGCTTCTAACTTTGTTGACCAACATTCGAACGGTGCTGGAAAGTCATTCGATAGTAACAGTAAAGCTGTGGCCTATCGAAGTAACAATCAAGATGCATTGAGAAGTCACAATGAAAGACATTTTCAAAGTACTGATTACATGGTATGAAATAGAAATTATTTTTTTAGAAAATGCCTAAATTACGTGTACTTTAACATTGAACAAAATAATTTTAGTGATAACATTGTTTCATGTTGTCTCAATTCTACAAATTTTTTCCAAATTTTAAATTGAATTCTTTAGCGCTATACATATTAACTGCTTTTAATATACACAATCTCTTGTAATTGATGATGACTGTTGATTTGCAGGAAGGAAGAGATGGTTTTGTCGTACGTGAACGTTCTTACACGAGTGGCAGAGAAGGAAGAGGACAATTTGTCGATAAACGTACACATACTTACTGGGAAAAGAATTAAAGAGTTACCACTATGAGACTATTCAGAGAACCTTTTTTTCTTTTTTTTTCTTTTTTGAAGTTTGTAATATCTAGAGCATGAACAAAAAACTTACTCAGTTTATTGAAAGTTCAGATCAATTAAAGAGTTACCATTATGATACTATTCAGAGAACCTTTCTTTTTTTTTTTAAAGTTTGTAATATTATCTAGAGCGTGAACAAAAAACTTACTCAGTTTATTGAAAATTCAGATCAATTATAGAATGTGTTATTTTAGTATTATGTTATTGGTTACATGTAAGTTGATTACTCGTGCATTTTTTTAAAATATCCCATGAGGTTAATAAATATTACCCTTATAATAAATATTATCCTGTAACTACTTATTTCATAATCCTTAAAAAAATTATGATCTGACTTTATTATAATGGCAATTTTCTTTTATGAAAGTTTTTGAGCAGACTTTTGGTCTATTTTTGTCTGGAAAATTGGAATTTTTTTTAAAACTTGTTTTAGAGTTTTTGTCATTCAATAATGCTTTAACCTTTTTATCTATCCTTAAATTACTCTGAGGTCAAATTCATATTTCAATTGTTTTCGTTTATCAACAACATACATTTCTAGTCAAAATTATAAAATGCTCATGCCATACAGGTATACATGAAGTAGATGTCTGGGAATCAAGTTTATTTTTATACTTGATTTATTTTAACACTTGAGTTTTCCTATCCAATTATATAAAAGCAATAAAATTAAATTATTAATTTTTGTTAATTATATAATATATATATATATATATATTACATATTTATAAAATATAATACATAAAAATAAAAAAATACTGAATTTTTTTCTTCATCAAACTATTTTTTTTTATTAAATATATTTTTTAGCTATTTGGTATAATATAAATGAAATCAATTAATATCCGCGCTCAAATAAATTTCAAAAATTAATAAACCTAGGTCAAGACAAATTGACCTATCTATACTGATTGTTAAATATATATATATAAATTTATTATAGTAATACTGATATACGGAACGTTTCGACTTCACAGAGTCCTCATCAGCCGTAAAACCTCATGTAAATTGTACTAATTTTGGCAATTGGTATTACATGTCTTAACTATACCGGTGGTAAAACACAAAAAAAATTGTCAGACAGATTTCTTTATCCATTTTTATCTTCAGCGTTGGCCGTCATACTGAGGTTAAATGAATAAGGATCTACGCACAATAGGGGAAATATTAGGCACAGATATTGAATATAAGAATTTTAACTTGTCAGAAAACGCACATTCCACAGTACACTGTTCTGATAGGTTAAAATTCTTTTATTTAATATCTGTTCCTAATATTTCTCCTATTGTGCGCAGACCCTAAAGAAATCTATGATTTCATACTTTTTCCAGCTTTGGACACAAAATACACCAGGGGCAGATACATTAGCTCGGATATTGTAATCGTGGAGAAGAAATTTTTATTCTATGAAACTACTGCGAAGAGTTTTGACAGGAATGAAAACGTGAAAAACGCTTGTTTTATCGATAATACAGACGGGTCCAGCATCACCTTAAGCCCATTCTACATTGGTCGTATCGTAGCATCGTAAGGGGCTACGCAGAATAAAAGGAACAGAGAACAGAAAATAAGAATTTCAACCTATCAGAAATCATATACTGTGGAATAAACAGTGTGTATTCCATAATACATGATTTCTGATAGGTTGAAAATCTTATTCTCTGTTCTCTGTTCCTTTTATTCTAACCAACACACACTTTTGCATAACGCATAAAGCATGTGCATAAGGAATTTCATTGGCCCATTTTCTTATGCATGAATCAATGGACCAATCAAATTCTTTATGTATATGATTTATGCGTTATGCAAAAGTCTGTGCTCCCCGCTTGAGTGTCTGAGACTTTAAATTGACACATCGGATTGGCTGTTGCTACAAATTTGTGACCTGCGACGCCTATGATTCGACCAATATAGAATGGGCTTTAAAGAGAAAAAAGAAAAAATTATTCAAAAAATTCAGCTGAAAGAACTTTTATCTTGGATATCTTGGAATATTTCAGAAGTTACATAGTATATAAAGATACTTTTGAAAAATGTTTTAATAATATTTGTATCAAAGAATCTGAAAAGTTTTATGAAAAATTATAGAAATCTTTTGTATTATGTCGTATTATTCTTGTTTAAGTTTTCACAATCTTTATTTGAATTATACATAGATATATGTATCTTTTATCGTAATTCACAAATTATAACGAAACGGCAATAAAACAGTTGTAGTAAATATAGGCAATCGCGCGTTCAACAGAAAAAGTAGTTTTGTAACCGTACAAATTCTTTAATAATAGGTTCTCGTCAGTTCTCCACTAAATTTAAATATAAACACCTGCATAAATTACATAATCGATATTTAAACATCTTACAACAGTTATATATATGTATGTGCAAAAAAACTGTTATTTCTGCTGAATACAGCTTTTGGTAGTACTTGAGACATTGGATCGGATCGGAGCGATGAAAACAATCGACATTCGACATTGCCATCGATGGTCCACTGACGTTCTATTGCTGATCACGTCATTCCGACCTTTTTCTAGAAGCTTCTCAGACACGCCACTGAACTTCTCGACCGGCGCTCCCAGGGCGCTCCTGTTCTTCTCAGTTTGTGAATCAAAGTAAATCAGTAAACACCAGGTGGTGTGCTGAGTCCCGAAAGGGACGAGTATCTCGTTTAGGAGAGGCGAAGGAGAGTGGAAGAGAAGGAGGAGGAGGAGGCGGAAGAGGAGAAGTGGTAATAACGTGGATAGCATCGAGATCGTTTCCGCGTACCACCCCGCCACACACCACGGTTCTTGGTTGGGATACACGTCCGTGGTGTTCGCATATGCCAGTTCGGAACAGCTTCGGCGGCCGGTAGCGTGATCTGTACGCGCAAGCGTGACACGGGATTTACAGCATGGCGGAGCGCAGGAAAAACAGGAAGCGCAAAGATGTAAGCATCGCATATGGGCATGAATTAAGAAATCCTGAAGGCATGTTGATTGCACTTCGTGATTGACCGACGCCAATCGCGCGTCGCCTCACCGTGCGCGATCGCCCTCGATCTGTCGATTTGCGAAACGTGTCATCGCCGTGATGCGCGGAGTGACGTAGACAGATCTCGAGATACTCTTCCTACGAGTCTTCCTTTCAGGGTCACGAAATACGAAAACGATCGCGGTTTTACAGCTTACGTTTCCCCTTCGACCAGATTTGATATAAACACCCTTCCTCACATCCTTTCTCTGTTTAAGTTTTCTTTTTTTTTTTTTTTTTTTCGTAAACTGTCTAACGTTGCTATTGTTTTTGTAACAGGAAGTAGCCAGTTTGGATACCAAAGGCGCTCAGGACAAACCGTCCAAGGAAGAATACGCGGTAGCCAAGTGGATCCGCAGTAATGTACCGTCAAAGAAGACTAAGTTCGATAGGACTCACATTGTTGAGTACTTTACTGGATCGCGTGCAATTGATGCTCTATTGGAAAATTCACCTTGGAGCACGGTGTTCGAAAACCGTGAGCAGGTCTCCCAGTTCTTGAACCTGATGCTCAGTCACAAGTTCTTTCACAGAGCTAAGAAAGTGGTGATTTCGGAGGAGGAACTCAACAAAATACGGGGCATCAAAAAGAAGACTACGAAAGAAGATAAAAAAACTACTAATAAGGAAGATTCTAAGGAAAACAAAGATGTAGTGGTAAAGGAAAAGGAAGAGAAAGGCGAAGAGAAAATCGACGAACGGAAGGAGCATAAGAAAAAACCAAAAGTAAACGTGAACGTTCACTTGTGTCACTAATTTCTCTTCTTTTATCTCGTAGTAAATGAGACGTTTTATTTTCCAGGTAAGACTAGAAATGCACATTGAACAATGCTTTGTGGATTGTAACGACGCATATGTGTGGATGTACGAGCCGATTCCTGTGTATTATTGGTTCTTTGGTACGCTTGTAGTCTTAGGTGCAATAGGAGTCTGTCTCTTCCCACTGTGGCCCTTAACTATCCGTCACGGAGTTTATTATATAAGTGTTGCCGCTGCGGGATTTCTCGTATTTATATTAGCACTGGTTATCATTAGAATGATTGTATTCTGTCTTCTGTGGGTACCGACATTGGGTAGATGTCATCTATGGCTGCTACCTAATCTGACAGCTGATGTTGGCTTCTTTGCGTCCTTCTGGCCATTGTATCAGGTTAGCAGTCGATTCCATTCTTTTATCAAGAGTGACAAAATGACATTTAAATTTATGGTATAAAAATATTTTTACAGTATGAATATTATGGTTCCACGTCGGATGGCGATAAGAAGGTCAGCAAAAAGAAAAGAAGGAAAGAGAAAGATTCTGATTCCGAGGATGCGCCATTAATGCTGTAAGTTTTGAGATTCTCTCATTGATAAATCATTTTGTGAAGTATAATAATATGTATTTCTGATTTTATATGTTTATGTTCTCAGAGAAGAGAAAGAACCTATAGCAATGGAAACGTCTAACGAGACATCATCTTTATCTAGCGAAGAGAGGAAAATTTTGTCCGATTCGGCCGAAAGAGAAGACGGCAGTGAGGAAGGTTCGGAGAGCGAAAAATCTAATACGAGTCGAGATTTTGTTATGGTTTAAAACGTGAAAGCCAGGCAGTAGATAGCTTCATGTTTGCTGGGACAAACAGCCGTATTAATTGTCGCATTAATCATCACTGAAATCGATATATGCTTGCGATTAATTCGAATGTCGAATTCGACGCACGAATCTAAAAAAAACCGATCGTAGCAGATTCTCCACATTTAATGCATTTAAGGATACGGTCATGAACGAGTGGGAAAAATCGATTGTGACTTTTGCATGAATTTAAGTGAACAGAATTTCCCGTAACTGACATGAATGTAAAGTATTGTCTTTTTAAAAACAGCGTGATACAAGGCATATTTTATTCTATACATGTATAAATATCTATATAAACATATGTGTGTAAAATGAAGAAATCGTGTTAGGCGTAATTTCGTTATCAGTTTTCGTTGAATAAATTATGGTACTGTTCGAAGTCTTCAATCTATTTCAATGCGATCAATGTCTACCGACAATGTAGTTAATATGCACCGAGTTCTCCCCGTTAGATGTAATCTTCGAATCAAGGGAGAACTAATTTAGCTGGAAGAGAGGGAATCTTTACGGGTACAGGACTTGACGTTTTTTTCGTTGTTCGGCGATTTAGCGCGAGTTCCTTTTTAGCAGAAATTAGACCCGATTTTAAATGAATGTATATTCCGAGTTTAATACAAATAATTTATATTTTTATGCGAAATTTCCAATAATAATTATTGTTATCATTACTATTATATTATTATATTATTATTTTTATGATCAACATTATACAATCATCAGGATCTGTAGGTCTTGTGGATCCGTTCGTGGATTTATCTATAATGGAAATAAAACAAAATAAAATAAAGCGTTATGTATCTATTAAATGGTCATTATTTTGACCTGCAATCCCACGTTAGATTAAGGTTGATTGGCCTTAAACGTCATCTTCTGCAGCATCGCGTTGCACATGGCTGCGTAAGGATTCAGAGCGACTAGTTGCGATTTAGCGAAACTCGAGCCAGCCTCAGCCGCACGGGTGAAATCTTCCCTGGCCTTGTCATCTTGCTCCATCCAACGATACAGAGCACCGCGTTGACAGAGTGCTTGAATACCCACCCTTCCTTTTCCTTCGCTCAATTCTACCGCCAGATGCAGATCCTTTAGTGCCTCTAAATAACAATTTAATAAGTGATAATAAAGACGATTCTCTTCTCTAACAATTTTTATAGAAACTCGTTTTCGATATCGTAACTAAAAGTACCTTTATCCCGATTTGCCAGACGTAAAGCTTGCGCTCTGTCATTTAGAATTGACGGCGATTTAGGTGCCTTCTCCAATGCTTGGTCGAAAAGCCGAAAGCATTCGTCGAAGTTTTTCACTTCCGCGCAGACTATTGCCTTTTTTATGATGTCTAATACATCTGGTTCTAAGCGATCCTCTTCGAAGACATCTGTTTCTTCTAAACAAAAAAGATGTGTGCATTACGCACAGAGTATATAAAGAGATATACGTAATTGAGACTTCAAATATTTCAATTGTTCAGAAAAAGATATCTCAAAAATTTCATCTTTATGATGAAAATATAACGCAAGAAATTTTTTTATACGTTGTAATAAATGTTATCTATATTTTTTAAAACCATATCTCTTTCTATATGATTCTTTTTCTATTTTGTTCTTACCTTTATGATAAATATAGAAAGGTAATAATGTACTGTAACGTATACTTTTTTTTTTCCACCATCTTCAAAATTACATATAATACCGATAATACAATATCAAAATTGATCAAAATTTTTTTCAAAAGAATGCGTTTATGTAGTTTAAAATAATAGGTCTAAAATGATTGGACAATTGTCACTATCTATAACATTATCTAACGGTAAAAATACCGAATTGTTGTTTACATGTCACAATTTATCATCTAAATACGTTTATTTCGATATAACACACTGCAGTTTGTAATTGAATGACAACGTAAAATTTTCCATATAATTTTATTCACTCTGCAGACTTCGTAGCCTTGGAGGATGAAACAAGAAACTTTATCTGTTCTCACATCGCGCAGTTCCTTGCATTATTGCATATTCATGACGATCTGAATGTCTCGCGTGAGAATGGCTCGCGCCGGACTTCGCTTCAGACGAATGCGGTTACCCGCGGGCTTTAAGCGTCCACGAATTTTTCGAGCGATCTGAGAAGTCTGCGGTTTGAATCGTGTCCAACTAGTGCAACAAGTGTCTCGACTACACCGTCATTAAGATTGAATGGCAATCTCGGCTTTAAATCGCGCGTCTGAGAGAAGAATTATCAAAGATCATAAACTATACATATATGTATATATTCTTCAGGATTATATATAAATTGGCGCATTGAAAATTTATAAAGAAATAGGTACAGATATGCTCTTAATAACTACACGAAATTAATAATGTATTGTTAATTCAATAGCAGTATTAATGAAACAAATATACGTCGTACTCTTGTTTTAATAAAATGTTATTTGTTTCATTAACTGCGAATAATTTTCATCGTCTCAGGTATTTTTATATCCCTGCAACAGCGAAAAAATATAAAATATTGTTTTAAAGGCAAGAAACGCGTTATATTAATTAAAATCTTTATTTTTTAAACATACTGTGATAATAAATTATTTCATATATTCCGTTCATATTTGTTTTTGATTTCTACTTTTTTCAGAAAATTATTGTAATCAATCCATATCTATACGTATAATATTTTTAAAACACTAATCAATTGGCAAACGATCATTAATATTATACACTGTTAATAATAATTTTCAATTAGACTGCTGTTAAAGAATGTTGACACATTTTTTTGTACTGGATTATATTAATTGTCATTATAGCTACGTACCAATTTCCTGGTAAACTGACAAGTCAGAAAAATCGGACGGACCGAGCAGCTGAAACGGATCGAAAATCGTCTTTAATACAGCCTTGTCACCTTCGCTCAGACTGTCCATGATGTCGACTGAATCTCAATATTTCCATCGCGTTCGATGGAAACTAGTTTCTGTTTATCTCACGTGAGTTAATCATATTGCGTCATAGATTAAATAGATCCGAAGAATGTTGTTCAACAAGCATGTCGTACATTGTTAGATATATCTAAAGAGCAATGGTAAACCAATCTCTCGAGCTAAATAACGTTTTATTATTTTTAATTGCCGTGTGAGTCACAACGTAAATCAAACCATTTTTATCAGTTTTAATTGTTTTAAATTTTGAACAATATTTTTATATTAAAACATGCGTATTTTATAAATAATAACTAAATTTGAGTAAAAAATACATTCTTTTGAATTGTTTATTTCAATTGTTTTAATTAAATTAACAATATAATGAATAGGAGTATAAGAGCGACGATAATTAAAAATGACCTATAATTAAAAATAACTCTATAATATTATACAGAAAGAAAAGTTTTGCTGAAGCATCTAAAAATTTAGATACTTAATAAAAAACAAGATTTGAAAATAATTTTGTTGGACCATTCAAATAAGTATACATATAGGAAGCTGAAATAGATTGATAAAATGTCAGAGCTTTTTTGTTTATGTAACATTGCTCGTCGTGTTTGAAATTCCTACGTAATTATTTTGATGATCCAACAAAATTCTTTCCACTGCTGTACAATATCTATCCAATTTTTTTAATACTTTGGCAGAATCATTTCCGTGTATAATTTGTCATTATTTAATTACAATGTATGAATTAGTGTTAGGAATTCTACTATATATACGGATACAAAGCAGAATCATATAGATTTTCCAGGGTATAACATTCTACTTGATACTCAGATGGCCAGTGTTCGATCTTATCTGGATAAGTGCAGATGGCTTATATGGAATCATTTCATCCTTGTTTATCAAATGTTATACAAGGACAAATAATGCTTGCAAGCGTGTGTCAAACGGACCTCGAGTAGCCGCTATTCAGCCACTTGAACGATTATGCGAGTATCAAGCAGCGCGAGAACGGATATCAATTCCAACTAATTCCTGCAAGAAGCCAGTGTATATTGAATGTCAATAAATCCTCGAGCAGGATTTTCAGGAATGCCACACTCATGATGCAACGTGGTTAACGACCCTCGTTGCGCCGGAGGGACAAAAATCTAACTCTTAATCATGATTAATTTATTTAAATTAACATTTAACTTTTAATTAACTTATCTCAGTTCCGCGGATGAGTCCACCAGGAGTCCACCTCGTCCCGCAACTTGTTATATTACGCCATGCAAAAATCATTAGCCGTGAGCGTGGAGGCATCGTGGATGTCATTAATTTCGGGAATCCCTCATAAGTTATTCTTGACGCGAGCAAGGCAATATATCCGGGAAACTGCCAGCTGGACGTCTAATCGCTATATATTTCTCATAGATCGTCGTAACAGTAAACGCGCGATTTGACGCGCCGTGAGGCGGATTATGCTATATACACTCGCGCAATTCGACGGGGACGGGCGTAACCGCGTGAGAGACGGCCGCGGGAACGGGTCTCGGAGCCGGTTTTCGACGAAAATCGACTACGGGACTCCACGGGACCCGTTTCTTCGTCATTAACCGAGCGCTCGCGCTTGCCCGCGAAGACTCGAAGCGCACGATTTTTCACAATTCCTGGCGTCGCCGCGCCGCGCCGCGCCGCGACTCCGTTACCGTTACCAGGGGACTGTTAAACGGCCTCGTCGTCCAAGCGGGCTTTCCCACGGGTAGAGCGGATCGCGAAGAAACGCGGGAGGACGTTGAGGATTTTCCTTCGTTATGGAAGCCAGAGCATGACCGGTGAACTCCGCTGATGAACGAGCCGCTCTCGTCTCAGGGCTATTTGACTCGAAGATGACCCGCGATCGTGTTGTCTCTCATCGCATGGTCACTTATTATGACAGAGTATCATGGCGAAAATAAAGTGTCACTTTTAAAGAGTGGCCAGCGCAGATTGAATTGCAGGAAACGAAGTTTCTAGGAGGCGAAAAATGTTTACGCTTCTGTTACGCTCTTCTTATATCTGATTTTTACTTTTCCATTTTTTTAGACTTAGATTCAAGATACGATTACGCGAGGCTTTACTTTTTAGGCGAAATAAACGTGAAAAGTGAAAAATTTCTCCATTACCTACAATCCTTACAGAAATCTAATACCGATCGATTTATAACTGAAAGAAGTACTAAAAAAAAAACTGAACAACTAATATTTAAAATCAGTAATTAATTACTGTCTTCCAATATTGGCCAATATTAACGGTTTCTGTAAGGAGATCATAAAATATTCATTCTTCACATTTTCGCCTTAGGAAAAAACATGATCGCTATAGAGTTTAGATATCGTGTAACCACACTTCCTATAACGCTTTTTATCAAATCTCGTTAATCTCAGCTTGTTATAATCAAGTCTGTTATCACGCGCGCTCTCGGAAGGTAAAATACGAGACATTCCTCTTCTCCTCCAGAGACTTTCTTTTTTTTTTTTTTGCATCTTATTATTTTCATATTAACTCGATTGCACACCGACACCAATTGCAATTCGGTTCTGCATTGACCGTTCTTTGTGCACTTTGCGCCTGTAATTTATGAGGAGTTTGAAAGAAATTGAAAAATGAACAACAGAGCAAAGAGCATGATGCGGGAGAGCATCGTGGCAAACGCACCTCGAAATAGAAA